AAAAACCCAAACCCTAAAAACCAAAATCCTAAAAGCCCAAATCCTAAAAAAACCAAACCCTAAAAACCCAAATCCTAAAAACCCAAATCCTAAAAAATCCAAACCCTAAAGAGGTGTTCCCTGGGGAAGACCAGGCCGAGCCTCCTCGACCCTTCGTTGCAGCTCTTGTGCGTCTGTCAGGTTCATGACCAGCTCCTGGGCTTGCGATTTAGGGCTTTAGGGTGTAGGGTTGGGGGCTTTAGGGCTTCAGGGTTGTAGAGTTTAGGGTTTTCGGGTTCAGGGTTTTCGGGTCTAGGGTTCCTTGGCAGGGTGCCGCGACATGCCGGCTAACGCTTAAGCGACTGTCGTGTCCGAGCACTGAGGCGCGAGCGTTCTGCGGAAGCTCAAGCAACATGCCTGTCAACTCGGATGAGCTGAAATGCCGTTCGACCCCCAAGTTCTGCTCACACTTCGAAAGCTTTAAGGGGACTTGAGTGACTTGAAGGCTTTCTTCCACGTTGCAGGGGTTCGGAGTTCGGACCTCACGAGCGTCCTGTCCTTGCTGAGGCCGAGATGGAGCCGAGCTTAGAGCTTCTTGGCTGTTCCCGGGCGTTAGGCCCCTCTGTTCAACCAAGTGCTCCCCGGTATAGCTGTTGGGTGAAGGTCTGCTAAGCATGGTCACAGCCACAGCAACTCAATGCCCCGACACTCGAAGACAGGACCCTGTCAAAGCTGCCTGTGATCTTCTGAGCCAGGTAAGGGCTTGGAGACAACGGCAGAACCTCACAGGCTCGACAGGCCAGCCTTCAGTTACGCTCGGTGGCACTGGGTAGATTTCTACAGCCGCTATGCGCATCTTCTGTCTTGACTGTCGCGATTTGCTGGCTGATTCACTTGTGAGGCGAGTACCAAGACGTACAGCTGCTCGCCGTACATCTGCCTCTGCATCTCCTGCAAGCTCTACGCGTTGGAACTGCTCACCCCCTAAACCCTAAATACCCTGAGCCCTAGAAGCCCTCGAGCCTCTAATCATTAAACAACCCTGAGCCCTACAGAAACCCTGAAAACCCCGTGCAAAAAACCCTTGGGAAAGCCTAGAAACCTCTATGGTACATACAATCTCCCTTAAACTGCAAGAAAAAGGCCCTAAACCCTATACGCACGATAACTAACCGACATCAAAAACACTCTAATGGCGGGGCCTTAATAATTCGAATAGGGAGGGCTTTGGGGGCCCGTCATACCATAATAATAACCAGGAACCCCCCAAAATAGTATTGGTAGTTCTTTAGGCCCCCTACATTTGTGCCCGAGGACGCCTTCCCTTCAGGGTCCTCAGAGCCGGGCTGCATGGCCGGGGGAGGCGGGGCCGTGTAGACCGGCATGGGCGGAGGGGGCCTCAAGGACGAAATGAACGGTTTCGGGTTTAGGGTCTGGGGTTTGTTTAGGGTTCGCATAGGCGTTATGTGGGGTTTAGGGTTCCTTTAGGCGTTATGTGGGTTCTATAGGCTTTGCAGGGTGTAGGGTGTAGGTTTAAGGGCGAAATGAACCCTAAAAGGGGTCAGTGTTCTATAGAGATTCATAATGTAAGGGTGTACGTGTACTATCGGGACCCCTAAACCCCTAAACCCCAAACCCTAAAGTTTCGAGTTTTGGATGGAGGGTTTGGGAGGTTTAGGAGATGCCGTGTGGACGAATAGTGGGCACCTACTTAAAGGATCATGGGACTTAGTCTTGGGCTATTTGGTAGATGTTCATAACAGGTTATAACCCCAATTGACGTACTCATAACTTGACTTACTAAGACCCATGATCCTCCATGTAGGTTCTAGCAAGGGGTAGTTTGGGGATGTAGGGTGAGAGGCGTGGGGTTTAGCATGAGTGAGGAGAGTGGGGTTGTGGGCTCTTTTGGTGGAAGCCCCCTTTTTGGTTTCGGGTTTTGGGTTGAGGGTTTAGGAGGTTTAGGGGTATCAGGTTAGGGTTTAGGGTTTGAGGCTTCGGGTTGCGGGCCGCGGAAGATGACGGAGGGAAGCTCAAAGGATACGAAAGCACTGACCTTCGAGGTTTTGGGAACTTGATAACTGCGTTCAGGTCTTGCAGACTCCAGCAATCGGGAACATTCTGAAACAAGGTCGTTGAGGCACTTGCAATGTCGTGGTGCGAGTCAAGAGTCCTCTTCTCTGGCCAAGGCACGGCATCTGCATCAGGGAAACTCCAGGAACGCCCTGTGAGAACCTGATGACGCACTTTTTTTTGTCCAATGGCAAAGACTCAAGATGCGGCAATCCCATATAACCACAAAACTCACTTTAAGGACGCAAAAAAAACCCAAAAGGGGTTTAGATTCATATAACGTATAGGGGTTCAGCGTACAAGGGTTCAGGGCCCCTACCTATAAGGGTCATTTGGTCTCCAACGCAAAACCCCCCAAAATAAAAATCTTGACAACTTGGAGGAGCCATCTACAAAAGCTCCAACACCCCCGAGTTTGCATGACTGCCGCTCCTGTAGGACCAAAGACTGTTTTGTCTAGTGCTGGCAACTTCGAACTGCGTTAGGAACTTAGCCTCCGAGACATAGCATCGGAGTGCGGCGTAGACGCTTGGAACTGCAACGAGGGTGCTTGGTGTGCGTCTGTGCCTGCATGTGTGTGTGTGTGTGTCTGTTGCAGGAATTCAGAGCACGGAGAACAGCATTGACAGCTAAGTCTTGTCAATATCGCTGCCAGCAATCCAGTGACTGTTGCCCGTGTAGTGTTATCAAAATAAGTTGGAGGTCATGGTAGTCAGTGCTGTGGACATCAGAAGCCCACTGACCTTTATACTAGCCTTTACTATAGTAACCTGGAGGTGACAAGTTTTTAAATGTCTCTCTGCAGCAAAGCTGCGATACAGGTGGCCCTGCCGCCATCTTGCCGAATCCTGGAGCACAATCATCTGCCATGAGGTGCACAAGGGAACCCTAAACCCCAAGCCCAAAACATCTACGGCATTGCACTGAATCCTGCCAGGATCCTCAAAGCCATGCATTTAAAGGCCCAGCGCACTTTCAGACGGTCGGCCAGCAAGCAACACAGCACTGCCGAGCCCAGCACCTTTGCCTTTCCCGCCCTGTCAAGCTGTCGGGCTTTTGTCAGCTCAAGACCCCAAACCCTAAACCCCTAAAGGCCGTAAACCCTAAACCCCTAAACCCCTAAAGGCCCTAAAGGCCCTAAACCCTAAACCCTGAACCCCTAGACCCTCAAACACCTCTGTAAAACAAAACCTGAAACCCGGCCCAACGAGATAGTAAGAAAGGCCCAGGCCCAGGCCCTTCCGTCAGCCCAAGCTGTTATAGGATTTTGATGTAATTAGTCTGACAAAATATTATATTCCATTATACTCTGTTGGAGTCTATGTCTGCCAAACGCTTTTATAGTATGCTATCGGATAATAAGACAGTATGTTATGGTCGATTAGACCATATCAAACTGGTGCTCTAATATATCCCAGAGATCTGAGCGTTGCAGGCCTTGCCTTCTTCCCCTTGCCTTTGTCACCAAGCCTTGGTAAAATGCCGGAGGCTCGAAGATTGAGCCTTGATGTGGTAAAACGGTAAAACGATACATATAGTATTCTGTAACATATTATGTAAGATACATACACTGCTAAATACATGTGCATATATATATATATATACACATGTAACGTATATATATATATATACACACACACGCACACCACAAGTTCCGAAACTAAGCGGGCGTGGAGAGACTCGGGCAGTCTAGCAACATGCCCATGTTGAGGGGGGGTGTTGCTTAGGTTCCGCTGCTGGGAGCACAAGGGAAGGCCTGTCCCTGCTCATCCTCCAGCTTCCTTCAAGGTACCCTTAAAGGAGCCTGTACAGGAAACCCTATAGGTCTCTTAAAGAAACCCTTTAAGGGTTCCCTGGGTTTAGGGCGTAGGTCGAAGATGGTGGCATGAGCACTCAGGGCAGAGTACTACCTGTCCAAAGTGCTGAGCTTGCATCGCAAGACGAACTGCTGAGAGCCTCTCTGAGCCACAGCCCCTGCCATTGCAAATTCAAAGCCGGCTTAGGCGGAGGCCCCCAACCATCCTGGCAATGAGTTCTTCTGCTCGCAAAAACTATCAAAAACTGGGAGACTGCGTGAGCATGAGGCATTGTCATCCTCTTGTCGGTACACGAAGCATACAGGAAGGGGTAGGCAGCTTGCCTGCCTTGATATGAAGATCCAGAGAACCTCAGAATGCCTCTTCAGGTCCGATTATGGGTCTCTCCAAGGGACCTGCACCGATCTCAGCTGTCAAAAGATGCTCGAGTGAATGCCGCGCCCAAAGTCCCTGATGTAAGTGTGCTAACGAAGTTGAGGAAGTCTACCCATGGTATTTTAGTGGTGCTGCCTTGCCCCGGCCCTTGCCGTAGCCATTCTCCATGGACCTCACAGCGACACCGAGTGTCAGCAGCACTCATCGGGTTTGGCCGCTTACTGAAAGTTCATATGGGTCAATGGCTGAAACTTTGGCCTTTGCGCACGCCTACTCATGCAACAATCGCAGCGATTGCGACAGCATCTATCTCGCATACCTAGCTGCCCCGAGCCACCCAGACCTGCAAAACACAAACTCCCTGGAAAAGATGGCAAAGTTTCTTCAGACAAACAATCTCTGGCGCTGGCTACACCCTCACAGTGCAGCGGACGAACCCTGCACCCTACACGGCTAATCTTGAATCTCCTCAACGCAATGATGCTCACTGCCACCATGCTGCAGGCCACCCCAAGAGTCCTCACCAAAAACAAGATGGTTGAAAAGGTCTTAAAATAATAAAGCGTTTGTTCGAAGCTTGCACAGCGGACCACAAATGATGAGATCTGGCCGTGGCAAGCCCAAGAAAAAAACAGGCACCACGTGCCCGCCCGCTACAGACACGCAGCGAGCTCCGAGCTGCAAAAACGGCAGAGTTGAATAGCTTGACGTTCATCCAACCCATTTCTGTAAGCAGTCACCTGTAAATCGTGGAGTTTAGGAAGATTGCGTGCACCCAGCTTCCTTGGACTTGCCCTTTCCCTTGCTGCCATTGGAGATGGGCCTGGCGCCGCAACGTGTGGTGGGTAGCAGGCTGCTTGATTGTGCCGGTTAGGGGGTTGCGGGGATGAGCGACGGCTGCTGCTGCTACTGTTACTGCTCCTGATGCTACTGCTGCTACTGCTACCAAAGAACCGTCGTCGTCGGAGTAGCAGCAGCAGCAGCAGGAGTGGTAGTAGCAGCAGCAGCAGCAGCAGCAGCAGGAGTAGTAGTAGTAGTAGTAGTAGTAGTAGTAGTAGTAGTAGTAGTAGTAGTAGTATTACTACTACTACTACTACTACTACTACTACTACTACTACGACTACCACAACTATATACGACTAGTACTATATATTCTACCCCTACCTCTACCACCTACAGCATCCCTTCAATC